CAGTGAGACAAGCCATTAGGTCACTCTGCAGATGAACAGGGGATTTAGGATACCAAAGCTGTCGGGAATGCAGAGATCCCAAGACAGCCAGCCCCAGCCCCTCCCAGAGAGGCTGTAGCCATGAGCTCAGGCTCTGAGCAGGTACGGGTACCTGCTCCTCATAGCTCGGGGCTTGTCTACACAGGACTCAACAAAGTTAAATTGAAGTAACTAAATCTAAAGTGGATTAAAGAGCATTAAAACTCTGCATGAAACTCTCATTCAGAATTAAAGTGGCCTTAATTCAGTTTAATTTACTCCCAAATGCTACTAAATAAGGCCATTTAAATTGTCTTTAATTAACATAAGTGGTCCCATATAGGCATTTGTAAATGAGGTTTAATTAGCTCATTTTTAAAAGCAAGTTATCTGCCTTGAGCTTCCGTAGGTAGGCAAGCCAGGTCCACGGCCACTTTGCTGACAAGGCTCCTGATTGAGGCTGGTTAGCAATAGTTTCGTAGCGTTGGCATCTCTTCCCAAGGAACTGGCACGAGGCCAGCTTCTTCCCTGCCAGCAGATAATAAGATCCTTGAATACCACCTATTTTGACTGCATTAAATGTACGAGTGGGAAATGAAAGGCTTTGCCAGAGGACTAGCTCTTCCTTTAAATTCTGGGACATGGGAGTGGTAATCCCTAGAAAAATCCCTAGAAAAATGTGATGTCAGGATTTTACGAGACTTGTTCATGAGCAAGGAACCAGACCGGAGGAAAGCACTGCTTTACACTGAGTCAGCAGAGAAAGGGAAGGAGCTGGAGGACTGGGAGGGACTGAGGCCATCCCTAGGACAGGGCTCCTGCTATCACAGGCTACCGTGCCGTCACTGCTGCCCCTGGATGCTTTTGTTCCTTTTTTGCTTACTAGAAGTCCCGATTCAGAAAGACAACCCTTCAGCAGCATGAGACACGCTGCTGGCTGCCCTTGATACCCAGCCTGGAGCGGTTGGGCACATCCTGTGGTCTAGCATCTGGCCTTGCCTGCCCGCTGCCCTCCCCCTCGCTCTCACAAGTTCCTCCTCAGGAAAGGCCCCGTGCATGCGTGCGCTGCAGAGGGGATTTCCACCTCTTTCCTGTGGGCGCAGATATCTCACAGCAGGACGGAGGCACGAGCACCGCTCAGCAGCCCAGCAGTGCCAGCGGACGGCCCGTCCCGCAGCAGAAAGGGGGCGATGCGGCCACCCGACTTCTGGGGCAGCGCTGCCTCCTGCTCAGCCCCACCACTCCCCAGCCGGGCCTCCCCAACAAGCCCTGCTGGGCACCTCGGCCCAGGGATCGGGACTGTGTCCCCCGGCACACCATCCAACCCCACCAGCCCAGCAGAAAGAAAGTTAGATCACTGCGAGATGAGGGCCTGACCTCCGGTGCACAACACAAAATCTCGGCTGTGCAGGACGCCTTTCCCAAAACTAAGTGGTGTTTGTTGGCACCTGGATGTGGAAGCAGAGTGGGCAAGTTGGAAAGCACTTCTGCAAAACGCCATGGAGGTGCTCAGGACCCTTTATGAAATCCATGACATGGCTATTGGCATGTTTCTAGTAGACTTGGTGCTATTTAGGCTCCTCTGAATATGGCTCCCTTCCCTGCCCTCAGACCGATGCTCTGTTCTGCAGCTCCTCTGGCATTCCCCACTCCAGGACAAATCACTGCTCCAAACTTGATGGCAGTGGGCTGTTGCGGTCATGGTTTTCTGCAGGGTACTGTTCCCCGGGCAGTGGCTTTACTGAAGTCCTGCTGGATATGACACCCCTGGGTGAGCAGAGAGGGGCAGAGACCTTCGGGCATGTTTGGAGGAAGCAGGACAGCAGCTGGTTTCTGGGAACGAGTCAATACACTTTCAAATCACACCAATTAAGTGAAAGCCGGTTTATTGCTTTGGAACTGAGAAGCCGTAGGAGCATTTCTCACCAGCAGGCAGAGGAGGAGGCACTGTGGGACAGCACTGCTCTTCCAGCCCCTCTCCCTGTGAAGGGACCCTTCGTGTGCCTCAGGGAAGAACCAAAGTCTCCTGCCTTGTACCTGGTAGCGAAGGGCCTCCGTGTACCAGTGATCCTGGCAGAGGCTTTGTTCTGGAAATCTTCATATCCTCAGAAGCTGCAGCCTCCTCAACAGCCCTTACAATGCCAAACAATTGAAGCAAACTTTCTCTTCAAAGCAGTTTGCAAATGCAAATGCAAAAAAAAAAAAAAAAAAAATCAAAAGTAACCACTGGGAGTTCTGGGGTGTGGCCAGCAAATGCCCCCTTTTGACTTTTAGGGTGGAGAAGCCAACAGACCCTCTCTCTATCCTGGCTTCTCTTTTCACCAAATCAAAACAGGCAGCATGCAATTGCTGTCACTGCTTTGCATAAATCAGAAGATACAGCTTTGTGGCTCTTACTTGGGGTATTTCCTATAAAAGCACATCTGTGGCCATACTTTTTGGTGCAATAGACTTTAGCCTGGAAGCAAAAGCACACAAACAATGCTAAATTCATGCTGACTGGAGTAGATTCCAAGGGAAAGAAGAGTTGGGAAAGCACCTACTTAAGTACTGACTAAGGATATTATCTCTGATCTGAATCTAGCCTCTGTGTGTGTGTTACTGTTGAGTACACAGTGCGGTTTCAGACATGGCCAGAGACAAGAAAAAATGATTGTTTCAGGGTAACCACAAGGAAGATGAATGCAAATGTATTCCTGTAACTGGGAGAGTTCCCTTGCTCTTAAGTTGGGCTCTGGTACATGGCCTCAGGGAAGCAAATTTGCAACTACCTTCATTAAATTGTTTAGGAATGATTAATCATAAGTTAGATGTAAAATTTTTGCACATTGTGAAATGTTAATTTAATTCCTGCAGTTACGTACAGTCTGTAAGGGTGGCTTTAGCAAACAGTCAGGGGACAGGTACTGGTGGTTGATAGAAGCTTCCTGTTTGCTCTTATCTCCTCTAAAAGTCGGGTTGATAAGCCTCCACCAGCTGAATCACAGCCACCTGCATCACATCGGGATCAAAGTGGTGCAAGAGACGTGTGTCAGAGACTCCAGCCTCCTGCACGATGCATGCCTGGCGTGCAGCCTGTGTGGGCACCCTCCGGGCTGGTCACCGCCGGCACAGGAGGGGCCACCACAGCAGGAGACACTGCTAGCACCCCTGAGCGTGCTCTGCCATGTCCATCCGTCAGGTGACTTCAGCGACACGGCATGCTGCGTCCAAGCACCGGCTGCTGGAAGTGCAGCTCATACAGAACATAAAAATACACAGAGCACCTTTGCTGATGTGCCCGAAGCTTGTGGCTGTGCAATCACATGTTCCTTCTGCCCAAAGCTGCCTACAGCTTAGGCTTGGCTTAAACAGCGGTGGTGCATTCTCAGCGACTCCTCGGTGACTGCAGGATTGTCCTTGCACCTGACACAACCCACCGTCCCCTGCCCTCTGTCCTGTTTCCCTCCCTTTCCAGTTTCAGCTCATGGGTCTGTCTCCTCTGCTTTCCAACTGGGCACTGAGCGTGCTGGGGCTGGAGCGATGTTTTCCTGACAGCTCTTAGGCCGAAGCCTGGTCTTTAACACGGTGAGGGGCAGCAGGTTGGTGCCGCCTTACGCCCCATACGGGTCAGGAGATGCACTCTCTTTCGGGAAGCACCGAGCACATGTTTCAGAGCGCTGGGACTCAATTCCCACTTGACATCCACCTCTGACGGTGGTGGGGAAGCAAAAAAGGGCCAGGACTGGAGTTTTAATGTTTTATGTTTTTAACCTCAGAGTAACAGCAGCCAAGGACAAGCTGGAAAACCCTCTGAGGAACCAGGCTCTCCACCGCACCGACCTCTTTGATCCAGGATTCGCCTGCCTTTGCTAACTTGGGGTTTTGCCGTGCCGGCCAGGCTGAAGGGCCGCAGATCACACGGCGGGGAGCACGGGCTGTCCCTGGAGGAGACCAGGAAGCAGAAGGGAGCATTTACCTAACGAGCACGCTTGTCGGGGCAAATCTGCCCGCATTGCAACACGATTTGCATAAAAACCAGGTGTTTGCAGCAGAGACCTGTCTCTACATCTGCCGGGGTTATTCCGCAAGGAGGCATCGGCGGGGCTGGGAGGGGACCAAAGGGAAACGCAGGGGCCGGGGACGTGGCGGGGGGGCGGCCAAAGCTCCGGCCCCGCTCCGCT